GGTTTAGATATACTGTAAGATGATCATTTCCTATCTCAAAGTAAAACTTTTCTCAGAGAAACATGCAGGCTCCCATTGCTGAAATCTGTATGAAAAGAGTAGCTCCTGGCTACTATGGCAACCATCTGGCTTCAGTACTTTTGTTTTGTTTTTTGTCAGCAGAAAAAAATATTCAAATAAGGACATTCTGGGCAAAGTCAAGATTCTTTCTCTGAATGGTTGTTCTAGGTCTGGAGTCAGACAGAGGGTCTAAATTACAACAAGGCAAACACTATTCACAGAATGAGAAGTGAACAATGGGAGCCTCCATGTTTATTTCAGGACTCTTGTTTATTATTTATCATTTTTGCAGAGCTAAACTGCCTGATATATTTTCAGTTTTCACTCCGATTTCAAGCACCATGTTTTCGTAGCACATATTTAATTTGAGGGAACCTTCTCATAGGACCCCTGCCTTTTGCCAACAAGCTCTTTATCATTTGCCTGTACTAGACATCATCGCATTTTATGTTTCCGGATATGCAAGGCATTAATACAACTATTCCACATCTGCTGGTCTTTGGCTAGTTTTGTGAATCTGCCCCATTTCTAAGCTCATCTGTTTTACCTGAACAGTATGCCACACTGTACTTATTAATCTGACTTTCCTGGGCTTACCTTTTGATGCCCAGCAAAGGGCAATAACAGAGTTTAAATATGTGTCATACAGATATAAAGCAGCAGCATTGACAAGGCCCCAAGCCCAACTCCCAAATTGGAGGACCATGGTATCTCTTTATAACTGGGTTATCACCAGTGACCAAGCATATATGGCCCTAGCTTTATCTATGTCACCAGCAGTATAGATTTATATAGAGCAGATGTATACTATGCCAGTATGGATTTTAGGATCATTTGAGTATGCAAGCTTCACCACTACAACAAAGTACAATATATGTTTAGAGAATAATATATATTCCACTTAAAATAAATCTGTACTAAGAGATATAAAGACAATCATAGCTAAACTCTTAAAATACAAGTTTACTGGTTGCAGAGACCTGGAACAAGCATGCAACTAGAGAAGACAGAATGTTTGATCTGCATACTTGATCTGGACTATTGTCTCACTACTGTCTTAGCACTGAACCCAATAAATGATAGCTAGTCAGCTAATGTTATCAGAAGGGGTCAGCAATGCCAGCTTCCATATACTGACATGAATCTTGCTCTGAGGCTCCTATCAGTCTAAAAGCCCCACAGAAGCCTAGGGGGGTTGAACCGTGTGGGTGTGGACATCAGATGAAAAAGCTGGTGGAGAAAAATAAACAAAGCTTTGGCGCAAGATCTAGGCAAGCATAGGCATTTGGGGTGGAGGCAAAGTTTACTTAATCATTAACCACTTGCTGTCCGCCCGTTGTAAAAAAACGGACGGCACTGCAGCATTGGTGGGTTGCCGTCTCCAGACGGCATTTTTTTTCTGCGGGCGCGCACGGGCAGAAAAGACCCGACCAATGCAAACACCCGTTACCGGGTGTTTTACACATAGACGATTGGCGGCTCCATAGCCCGCCGATCGTCTATATGTGCTCGTTTTTTCTCCACCCCCCCCGCGGCCGCCGTTTTTTTGCCCCCCCTGACCCCTCACCTTCAATCCCGGGATCCGCTGCCCCATCTGCGGCCCGGGATCGGGTCTGGAGGGCGTCAGGAGGAAGAGGAAGGGAGTCAGGCTGCAGCGCTGAATACTGAAAAATGGCCTAGATGGGAAGGGGGTTTAACACCGCGGATGTCAACTGGTTAAAGCAGTACTCCAAGCAGATATACAATCTCAGATTGGGGAGGCAGAATCAGAACAAGAAGTCAAATCAGGTGTACTACAAGAAGCATGCTGATAGAGGTAAAGAGCAAAGTGAAATGGAGAAAAGCTTATCAGTCTGCCGCTACTCTTTTTGCTGCCCATTCAGTGTGAAATTGAGGCCTGCTATGGTCTTCAGCTGTGTGTGCAGCAGCCTGTTACAAAGCAATTGCAGAACCTTATTGCAAGCGTCGTGTAACATGGTGGAGGCCTTTCAGGCCAGGTGCAGGGTTTGGGCAATCCCGGGACACGCTGCCCCATTGATTTCAATGGGGTTATACCCATGCGGCAATCGCTGAGAGGGGAGAGAAGGGAGAAAAAAAAAAAGGCGCATTTACCTTTTTCACGTCATGCACAGCTTTTTTTTTCCAGCCATGATTGTCCATGATAGCATGGGCGGAACACCACGGGATCCCCCTGGCGCAACTTGGGTGTCATTAGAAGTGAATGGCACCGCCCTCAGTGGTGGTGTGCAATTCCACAACCGCGTGGTTCATGCACGACTGCCACACACTCACGGATCGCCTGGGTGTGACCCTGACCTAAAGAACGCTTAATTTCCAGTTTAGAAATGTAAGCACAGATCTAAATAGTAAACAGGCTGCTAGAAGTCTTCAAGCCAGCTTTAGATAGTGCTAAAGCTAATTGAAGCCTGCTAGGAGCTTGCTTATAGTGACACAGGGGCGGACTGGTACCGGTTACTTGAACTTAATAATCGGCTAACCGATTTTGAAACAAATCATTAGCTTCAGCTCTAGATAAATGGTCACCCTACACCAGGGATCCCCCACTGGCCACAGTGGAGCCCCCACTACCCACCTGGGAGCTACCACAGAGCCACCACTAATTAAATACCATGGGCCTCTGGGTTGTACTTGCCCCCTGGGCTAAAAGTTGCCAGTCAGCCCCTGTAGTGACAGCACATTACATTCCCAAACTGCAAAAGCTTACTGTAGCTTACTTACAGCTTTTATACACGATTACGTAATGTGAACAAGGCCTTGGGCTCAGTTCAAACCTAGGCGTGTCGCTCCTGGCTAAGCGCGGCAAAAGACTCCACCCAAGGAATCCCATTCACGCCTGTGAGTTTTGTCGCAAGCGGAAAGACGTCTGTTGCTCAAAATAGTACTTGAGCTACTCTTGGGCAGGTTTCAGCAAGTTCAGTCCAACACTCAACAGAAAATTCTTGAAAGCACACACTGCGATTATTTTAGCGCACGTTTTGCCAATTCACATGCATGTGCCATAATCTGCTTAAAAAAATGCGAGAAAATGTGCATAATAGGTGTTGCTTATGTGTGAATGAAGCTTTAGCGTTACTGAACTGCAGCAAAAAAAAAAAAGTCTCCTCTGACAGCCAGGTCTGTGTAATGCAGCAGAGCTGTGTAAATCCTGTCAGGTAAAAAGCTCTTGATATGTATTCGTTGTATTACAACTGTATTTTGTGTATTAACTGCTTGCCTGGAGTTCAGCTAAGTCCGATTTTATTGATTTTTTTTTTCTATAAAAATATTACATGGCTGTAGCCAAAAACTGGCAATGAGCTTTGTCCATGCAGCCACTTGATGGTAACAGGAAGCTTTAACTGTCCGAAAAGGCAAGTAAATCCTTCAATATAACCCAACTGATACCATGCCAAGCCATTGTCATTACATTTTAGACTATGCCATGGAATAACTACGGACACAGAAGAGACTTGCGTGCACATCAGCTGGTGGAATGTATTGGTCCTAGACACACACATCCTAATATGATAGTGATAAACAATGTTTGCATTAAATAAAAAAAAAACCCACACTTATTCCTTGTGCCATTGGATTAACTACAGGGAGAGCTCTGAACCAAAGACCTTTAATAGTAAGATAATTGGCCACTCTTCAAATGCTGCTGGGCACCAGAGACACAGCAGCAATGTATGCCAACAGACAGATGATTAAAAAAAAAAAATCTGAACCGTGCAGAATACTATGATGATCTTAGGGTGGGACTCATCTGACTACAACAAACGCTGGGCATACAGCGTTTTATTTTCTTCATTCGACCTGCGGGCTGAACAAAGAATATAATGGATTTCTCCATCCACGCTAAATGTGAATGGTGGAATTCCCTGCTGTTTTCATTGTATTTCGACAGTGGCTGTCAGAATAACTAAACGGAGCTTGCTGCTGTTTGGCTGTAAACTTCATTTGGATGAGAATTTTCCAACCGGATCCTTCGATCAGCTGATTAAAGGATATCGGCCGGAAGCGTGCCGACAGCGGAACCCACTGTGCGAATTTTGACTTGAGCCGGCAGAAATTCAATATGTGTAAACCCTACTTTAGATATTGAGTGGGAGAAGGCAACCTGGGGAAAAAAAAGCACCAACTATACAAGCTATACGAATACAAGGTGTAACAACAAATACTATACAAAAGAAGCTTAAATTATTTACCAGTCTTAAAATATTCACATCTATGACCTATTAGGCAGTAAATAGCTTTCAAGACTGCCACACAGTCATGAGACAGATACACAAATTTGTAATGCAAAGATTGCCCTGAAGGTGAGGACCCACTTTTTATATAAAATGTAGCATGTTTATTTGATTAGTGTCCGGAATGAAATTTAACAAAAAGGAAAAAAAAAATATACAGTATTTTCACAATAGATTCCCTTTAATTCCATGGAAATATTTGATGGGTCTATTGTTCACTATGATACAAAGCACTGGTGCTAGAAGCATCTCTTGTGGTGAAGATGTATGATTAAGTAACATTTGCCAACCAATGCAGTAAGATACAGCAATATACAACAGGCAGGTAAGGTGCCTAGCAATTCATAATGTGTACCAGACAAGAAAGGAATCCAAGTACTAAAACCACCATGATCATCGACTTCGTTATTCTATACCATATAATATTTGTGTCATGATATGTGATCACAGCCTTAAGGTCCAAGTCACTTTTCTGCTTTAAAAGTATGTGAGCTTTAAATTATTTTTAATGAGAGAAATGTAAATGTATTCACCTTTTTTTTGTAGAAGTGTTGCATGACTAGCAATGCATTTTGTTTTGCATGTTTGATATGTTGTTTTATTATTGTATGCATTTTAACAGAAGCAAAATGCACAAAATAACATTTGCACTTTTACAAACTATTTGAGTGTTTCCACAAGTTTTATAGTTTAGAAAAATTATATTGTGACATCTTCCAATGCAGATATGATTAAAAACTAAAATCTGCATTTTCCAGACCCCAGAGAAGCAGCAAGTTGGTACTGTGAAGGGAAGTCTTTGGGAGGAGGCCAACAGCTTTAATATTATTGATCAACCTGCAGCAAAAAAACTACACAGATATTTTCTCATGCTATACAAAAAAACAGTTTACCCTGAGAAGGAAAGAAAAATGGTAGAATGACATAGTGGGGGATATAAGCAATGCTAGTTACCATGATCATTTGTTGTTTTGTGGGACTATTCTATGATTAGTGTCTGGATATTATGTGCCAAGCTTTTGCATCTGTCATTAACACTATAACTGAAAAGGAGATCTCTAAGCTACTGTAAGGGCCTTATCAAAAGGCAATCTCCTTACACTACCTGAAGAAAGTGAAAGGCACAGAAGGTTTACTGAATGTTATGGAGGTAGTGACAGCAATACTGAAGAACCTTTACGGTGAATACTAAATAGAATTAACAAAAGACAATACAACATTTTATCTTCTCTTCGGTGTTGAACACTTTTTCACTGGCATTTGAGATAAAAGAACAGAACAAAGACAGGAGAGTATCCCTAAACACAAGGCCCAGATAAACTTCCAAGAGCTTAGCAGTCTTTATGGCCCCTGCTAAAAATATTTAAATAGAACTTCTGCCATGCAGGAGTCTCACAGATCAAAAAGGTCCATCAATAAGACAATGTGATATTAAAAGTAATTAAGATACTAAATCTTTACATGTTTTTAATGAATAAGAACTGCCATATAACACATTGTTCATACGTATGCGTGTACGATCACACTCATAGCATATGGGATATAGAAATAAGGGAAAGAAAACCCTCTGCCATAAGGTGTTAAGTAATCAATTCCATGGGGTCTTCTTTGCAGCCTGCGCCTTGCGTTGATGTTTATGGATCTGTCAGGAATTTTGGTTCTGGTAAATAGAAGCCTTGTCCTTAAGCAGATCGAGACACAAATGACAACTCCAACTTCCTAAAAGAGCAGAGAATACATCTTTACAATATTTTGGATTACAATTAAAACACAGACAAGAAATGCTCACGAATGCACAATAGAACTTCATCCTTCTATCTCTATGCTTCCACCTACCGGGTTTCCTTTTATTTGATTCCATCCACCCTTATTCCCCTGTGTTTTTCCCCACTCTTTCTTTATTCAGGTCACTTCATATGGTAAAGTTAGTCCAAATGAAACAATGTATATGGGACATGAGCACTCTCCTCCATTCTTTACCTTGTAATTATTTTCATGTTTGGGACAATTTTAAAAAATATTTAAAAATCCCGCCATGGATGGGAAAATAGAGAAAAATTGCATCCACTCACCCTCAGGAGGCTCAGCCATTGGTGGAGAGAGGCAGTACATATGGTATCCACGGTCACAATCATCACAGAATAGCAACTGATCCTACGGAAAAAGAAAATAAAGCCGTTTGGTACATGGAGGCAACATGAAATGTTAAGATGAGCAAAGCAGATTAAAAACTGAGAACTCTAACAGCCAACCCATGTCATCCAGTCAAAATCAATCTTGTAATAATGTGAGTTCAGCAGTTAATTCTGATTGGTTACTATGGGATCCTCCATTTAATAATTAGCACTCCTTCTGTATGAATGGTAATATTGTTGATATGCAAGTAAATAAAACCTCTATCCTACCCAGGAATCTAGGGAAGATGTGATCCTTTGGGCAGTTCTTTAAAAATCACAGTAACAGATTTGCCATTAATAAACATTTTATCCTGAGCTGAAATAACCTTGGAGCAAGCTGATGCAGCATAAGGGCAAACAACTCGTAGCCTGCCATCGTTTCATCTCTCCTAAAAATGCCGCCTGTCTGGCTTCAATATTTAGGGACACTAACCCAGAAATAGTCTGCAGGTTAGTTTCCCCCTCACTTACTGCATCCTTGTTTCAACTTTGTAAATACTGAATTCAGCTACAGCCAGGAGACCAGTGTTTTCAAAGGGTCACTAATTTCAACTTTTTGAAGATTTTCTTCCGTACAGGTTTCCTTTGGTTTTAATGGTCAACATTTACTTACATCATTCTCAGATGTCCCACAGATGTTGCAACATTTACACTCAATGCACTGCCAGCGGTAAGTCTTCACAGCAGCCATCATCACTGGAGTAAACTGCAAACAGGAAGGATGTCCTACGATCGCAAGAGAAACGGGGCTCAGACTAATCCACTGCAGACAGGTTTATTATGGTGTCACACTTTTAAAGCAACTATAATGAGGTCACACAATCAGATCTGGACTACATATGATGGGAGAATACATTGAAATAGAGAATTTATTCGTAACAGCTTATGAAAGCTAGGTCATAACAGCAATCGATCGAAATTGGTTCATTTAAAAACCCTTTTCTGGGGTTTGGTGGTCACAAGGGAAAACTTGATATGCTCAGAGTATACCAGGAGACACTAGTTATAGGCTAGCTAGTTTTTTTTAAAGCTTTTCACTTTTTGCTTTATGGACGGTTATAAAGGAAACAAAAACAAAAAGAAAAATCAACTTGCAGTAATTAAAAATAACCTTTTCCTTTTTAAATATGCGACGGTTCATTTTGATGCAAGTTTTCCAACAATCATTTATTTGACAAGTTAACAGTTTTAAAAGCTACCTCTTTCCAAAAGAAACAGCATTTTAGGACACCCCTCCCAAACACGTCTGTTCTACATCAGTTTTTCTTTCAAATCCCTAATCACTCCTAGCAATACCATCTGTTCTCTGCAACCCAGTTAAACTCCGATTGCCATGACGTATATTATTGGAGTAATCCCCACTCCCTCACCTAGGCGGTCAGTCATGACCTATAGGATACATGTTTGATGAACAAATTAGTAAAGCATCACTGCACAAATTAAAGCGCCAAACCTTCCTGCTTATCTATGGCTAAAGGAATCTGTAAGTAGTAAAGGATAAGAATGGCAGCCATGGTGCTTACACCTTTAAAAAACACTTACTGGTAGTGTCTCCTTTCTTTCCTGATTGATCCCATTACACTACTGATCAGGTACTACTTCTCCCACTGGCTAAAGGAGACAAATGTCATCTATGAATGACATCCTTAAAAACATTACATTCACAACTCTTAATTGCATCTTTGCAAATAGATAAACAAGACATTTAAAAAAAAAAAAGAAGGAGCAAGGTTTTCATTCATTGCAAAACATATTACCATATTGATAGTTTCTTTATGTTTAAATTAAGGTAACACAATATGCAGACCTATTTAAGAAATAATAAAAAAAAAAAAGGAGGCTAGAATTGTCTCCAGTAACAACCTGCCAATTCCTGGACAGAATGGTTGTAGGGAAATTGATCCATCTTCACATACCTACTACTGATCTGGTGGAATCATGACTAAATCCTTGTGTCTGTTGTAGGTGACCCACACGCCAAATTAATGAAACAGTAGACAAAGTAGATCAATGAACCACAGGACAATTTTAAGCAAACTGCAAAGTGTTCTGCACCCAGTAATTTCCATTGCTTAAGAAAATGATTGTTCTATTTCATGTTGTCTGAGGAAATAATGGTTACCTGTTCTACAAATAAATCACTGATTTGGCATGTCATGTGGATGGTGTTAACAGAAAAAATGAAGGTAATCTCTACACAAAAAGTCTTGAACTGCACAATTAAAGTTTTGCTTCCTTTTAACTCAATTTTACATAAAGGACAGAAAAACATTTGCATATATTACCAGCTTGTCAAAAACCTTGATTGGATTTTGTTTTATGTAGCAAAGTATGCGTTTCTTCATTAAAACACAATGCTGTTATAGGATAATACCTCATTTGTATGTTAGAGAGCATGGTATTATTCAGAGAAAACAGAACCACAAACACTAGAATCTGCAAAAGCCACAAATACCGCAAACCCAGGAAAAAAGTTGGCCACACAATCTCTTTTTCAACCCATTTAAAAAGGTAAACTAAACTGATTTGGGGAAAACCTTATTTCAGTTTTTATTGTTTAGACCCTTAAATTGGTAAATTATACAGGACAAAGGTTTCCCTGAACACTGGGTTATCTGAAGAGACAAAGCAGAGCAGCTTGCCTTGCCTCTCTATTTGTTTGAGACAAACCTCTGGCAAGGCATGAGTCATTGTTCTGATGAGATGCTGTGTTTCAGGACAGCTGAAAAGTAACCATGCAAATGATCTGAAATGATGACTGTTGGCTGAACAGAAGACTACACAATTAATATAAAACATTTCACATATACCCTGTTACAAAAATGAATTGTATTTTTTTTAGGCCAGACCATAAAGAAAGAAATCAGATCCCACTACACAGTCCCCTTTGAAATCTACTTAACAACTATGTAGTGCAAGGACCCTTGCGCTACACAGAAGTTGGTAAATCTGTTGAAGAATGTTTGTAGAGCGTGTGGCCAGCTTCATGACAAAAACACTTACCTACAGCCTGGTCATAAAAACCGGAAACAAAAATGATCAGATTTGAGAACCTGATTTTCTACCATTATGGGATAGTGGGCAAGCAAATTGTGTATGATGTGCAGGTCTGTGACCATCCTATGCCCATCCTCACCTGTCCCTAATCCAGCGAGATATTGGTGCCACACAGCTGCTTGTCAAAACTTTCAGTGCTGGACCTCCACGTGTGAGCCAACATCTGCATATAATACTAGAGCACATCTAGTATGTTTGAGAGATCCATTTACTTACAAATCTATAAGCCAATTGTCTCCATTTAGAACATATCAATTACAGATCTATGGACCTTTGATGGGTAGTTTAGACCAAGTTTCTTCACAAAGAAAAACAAAAAACTGAATCTGATAGTCTTCCAATGTAAGTTATAACTTTCTGTTCTAGCTGCAAAGCAATAATGCTGAATTTGGTTTACAAACATTCCATCATTGCCAAGTAGTCCCCTGTAAAAAAAGAGAAACCTTAAAAAAGACTAAACCTAAAGCCAACAATGTACCTTTCCAAAAGGCATTTTAAATTCTCCGCCCTCCTAGCATTTCATACAAGGTCGCAAGTGTTTTCTTGATGCTTAGTAAGTCCTCCAGAATGCATTCAACATAATTCTATACATATCAGCCTGCATAACAGTGTTTGTGAACCCTGATCCTAGGAAGCAACATACATTCCACTGCTTTCCCTTGCAGTGGAAAGCAAAGCCATTTTTATGAATGGCTTATAATATCCATATAACTCCCCTACGGCTCTAGCAGAGGACTGTCCCTCGGCATCATTACATACAATGCAGGGCTATGGAGCCTACATTGTGCTTGATGACTTCAGCGTCATCAAGCGTGGATGAAGCAAGTAAAACAGCTTTTCTCTGTCCCCTAGTAAAAAAAAAAAAAAATAATAATAAAAAAGTTAACCCTTGGGAGTAACCCCACTGCAAGGAAAACATTTTAATTTCCCTGAAGGTGGGCTTCAATAAACGTCACCGTTATATGCAATTGCATTTGAAATGTTCTCTAACTACATTTAAATATATATCATATTTATTGTGTTTAATACACTTTAGGGGCTGAGCTGTTGGAAAATTACTGTGGGTTCATTTCTATTGCATACTACTGCTATTAACATTTATTTGCACAGTCGGGTTATTGTTGCTGAATTTCTCACCTTGCAAGCATTTGGTGATTAGAAATAATAGCTTTACATGTTTATATCATTTTATTGCACCACAAAATAATTAAAATGTATAAATAACCATCTCCTGTACAATGATCAACTGTCTCTAACAAAATGAGGTAAATGCTTAAAAAGGTAGGGGAAGGGACCACGCACATTGCTCAGCGTCTTAAACAATCTGTTAATAACTAAAACTGCAGACAGTCTACACCACCCCTTCTTCTTGGGCGGCAGGCAGTTTGCTGCACTATGGAATTCTCATAGCTGAAGATGCTCACTGTATCACCCTCCTTTTTCCCCTGCCTCTCATACCAGAGCGACCGCAGTCTGAGCAAGACACCAGCTCTTCTGGATGGCTTGTTTTCTTGTTGATCTTTGAGTCTCCGAGGCAAAAGTCACAGTAATTGTTGGGTAACGCTAGACCATCTGGACCCTTCTTTGCTAAAAAAAAAAAAAAAAAGAGAAAAAAAGGACATGAGATCGATATGCAGCTTGAGAAATTAGCAACCAGGCACAGATTACAAGAGACCTAAATCCTATACTTACTGTAAAAGAATAATATGGGAACTAAAACTGAGTTTTTAAAATAATAATATAGAAGGTTAATCATTTAGATGGGAGAAGTAATAAATAGGGGTGTTGTATTTCAAGAAAATGCTTATCTTAAAAATTAAGAATACATTTGGATGTTTAGACTGAATGGAATTTTTGAAAATAAAATGGATTTGGACATCTAGAGTAGGGGTAGGGAACTAAAATTCAAGAAGGTCCAGTGAGCAAAGTTTTCATAGAGCCGAGGTTTAAATCACAGTCCGGACAGAACAGCCATCCAGTCCGTTTCAGGACCGCGGTCCGCCATTTAGTCAGCATTTACACCAACAGCTGCACTTCAACACAGCTGCTGGTGTGTTTTCCCAGACACAGAGCTAATGCACCAATCCCAGCACATCACACTTTTTTGTTAGAACTTGATTGAATGTCACAAGTGACATTTCATTAAGTTCTATGGGATGGGCACAACCCAGAGTGATGCAGTTATAACACGTAGTGCCCTCTTGATATGCCACGCTTGAATGGCACCGTTTATTGAGTTTGTTATTTCAGTCAATTATTTGTTGTTTTTGCATGTCATTTATATGCACACATGTTCATTGTGTGTTTTAGTATGGATCTATCACATTGATATACCACGTTAGAATTAAATTTTTCATTGAGTTTACCATTTTAGTCAGTCATTTATTGTAAGATTGTTGTGGTCCCATTGAGGTTGTGATTATTTTTGCATGTTTTAAAGAACGACACCTTTTGTTTTATACTATATTTTTAAATGCAGCTGGCACACAACAGAACTCATCACAGCTGCACCTAAACGGCGAGAAAAATAATTGCACTGAGAGCCAAGCAGGCTCGACTACAGTACAAATACAAGAGCGGAATAAGAGTAGAATGAGCCAAGTGAAGACGTCCTGTGTGTGCAGCAGCTCTCAGACTATTTAAATCAACATACTGTACTGCTTGAATGAAGTGGAGGAATATGAGGTTACTGACTTGGATATGTTATCTAGCAGGAGGGGATCCTAAAATTATTAACATAATTAACCAATTGGAAGGGAAAAACACAATTCTGATATATGTATTTTAAATGTGTGCTAATCTGTTTGTCTGATGTTCTGCCAGGTATTAGATTTTACAAAGAGTCTAACAAATGCTAGAAGCCTGGCTGTTAAACTGACCCCCTGGCTTCAATAAAATTTGAGTCACTAACCCTGAAGATACATGCAGATCAGGAAATATATACATGCTAATCTGCTTTAAAGAGAACTATGGCCCAACGTCTTTTGGCCATAGTTCTCTTGATGGTAACAGAAGGACATATAACAGTGGTGGCGAACCTTGGCACTCCAGCTGTTTTGGAACTACAAGTCCCATGAGGCATTGCAAGGCTCTGACAGCCACAGACATAACTCCCAGAGGCAGATGCATGTTGGGATTTGTAGTTTTGGCACAGCTGGAGTGCCAAGGTTCGCCACCAGTGACATATACTAATGTCCTCCGGTGACCCAAAACTCAGTATATAGCAGGCTATTGCCCGCTATATGCTGACAACGTAAAGTTGTGCTACAGTCAGGATGGATCCCAACAATACTGTTGAGATCCATCCCGCTGGCTGATTGACAGCTGACTTTGCCTCTCTAGAGGCTGTGCCCTCCCCCATCCGTTCTTCAAGTTAGCGCTGGAGAGGGGCGGGGAGGAAATCCCTCTGGGTAATGGTGACTGACAGTCACCGCTCTCTGCAGGGAGAGGACCGGGAAGTCAGTGTTAGGAGTTGTGTTTGCTGACTTCCCGATCAATAGAGCCAAAATGTGTCAGCTTCAGTGTCACAGGCCGGCTTCAATTATGGGGCTGAACATTTTTCACTCACCCCATAATTCTCCTTTAATTGTTCCATTTCCTGATGTAGGAGTCAGCAATAGCAGTCTCTATGATTCTCTAATGCAGCCTGCCATTGCTGATCTTTGAGAAATACTAGGTGCCTGGTTGTACTGGCTTAAATACTTAACATGCCACTGACTGGACAATGGAAAAGAAAAACCCACTGTAAATTTATACAAAGATAACCAAACATACCTTTAAGAAGAAAAAACAATATGTTTGGAGTACCAGTGCAGAAAACCAACATCAAAAGAATACAAACAAAAAGTATGACTAGAGAACATCAAAACTTACATTTCTGCTCCTCAGATCTATGCATGATAGGGGTAGGTGGCTGAGAATCTTCCTTGTCATCTGCTCCTGCACCCTCTTCATCAACCAAATGAGAGTGTGCATAGTGATAGCTCAATCCAGGCCGGTTCTTGTATCGCTTTCCACAGACTGAGAGGAAAAAAGAAAGTAAAAAGTAAAAGAAAGAGCAAAAAAGGTGTAAAACAGGACTAAGAAACAATTAGGGCAAATAAACAGAGCAAACAGCAGACAGGCAATGAAAAAGCTGAATAGCTAACAAAATATTTTCTAACCATTCCAGCCAAAGAAGGGTTAAAACACAGTAAGCAAAGCTTGGATGGGACTGGGAATGAGAATCACAGATTGCAAGCTCATAACATATTACCATCAACCCTTATGTATATTCTACAATATTAAAGCGGAACTAAACCCTCCTATCCTATACAGCCCCGAATGGTACCATCTTAGCCTCTACACAGATCCGCAGTTTCCAAGTTACCATGCCATTTGAGTGCTTGAAAGTTTGGTTATCAGCAGACATAAGCACCCTGGCAACTGTGACAGTTATCAGAGGTAAGCTTTAAAATAGGAAATCGATAAATCTCTGGGTTTATTTCCTCTTTAAAAAAAGATCAACCACCCAGTGTGTGCTCTAGCCATTACCACTCAATTTTTCTGGAAACTATAACACCCAAACAGATCATATATAATTACTTTGTATATTCTATTTTCTTAAGGCTGTGGAGGTCAATCGCCTTTATTATAAGCAACGGAAAATGATGCTTCATGTCCGCAATCTCATTGTGGAGATATTGATAAATGCCAGGTATATCAGTCATTCATGTGTAAAATGCTCAGAACTGCAGACAAACCAGATCATTAAATGCTGAAGAGCAAAATATGCCATTAAAATAGGCATTTAGTGAGAACTTCATAACCTGCAGACTTTCCAGGAATGCATCAACTGTGTATATGGTCAAATATGGCAAAGCAAGTCACAGTGGGTGGTTTGGTCATGCTGAAAATCCCATAATGTATTTTTTTTTTTAATTCTTATTACTTCCTGCATACAATTCACATGCACACTCACCTGAGCGTACATATTATGCCTACCTAGGCAAAAGTGTGCCTGAAAGCTAATGGAACTAGCTTTTCTCAAGGGGAAAACAACAACTTTGGCCAAAACTCACCAACACAGTGAGAAATATCCAGCTTATTGCTTTTTTTACTACCATAGACAGGAGAATAATAGTTTGATGCATGATACATTTGTAACTAGTTACTTTTTTGAGAAAAGTACTCTTGCGCTAAAGAAAAACATTGTTTATATGACAGAAACATTGGTGTAGGGTTACTATGATAATCCAACCTTTTGCTATTAAACAATCTTCCCCATTAATGTGCTTTATAATCTTCTCTGGGGACAAGGCTTCAAGGACTGTAAGGGTGGATTCCCAACAGCAAGCCGCTCTAAATGGATGAGAATATTTCATTCAGTTCTACAGCCACAGAGTGGTGTGATGCGGTTGTTCCGCTGTGCTGAAACAAAGTGGTGCATTGCGGTAGTGTGAACTAAGACAAATAAAAACAAGGCTACTTCCTTGTCATCTCATTGGGGCCAGTGCAGCCCCAATGCCTCTGGTGTGAATCAGGCCTAACCCCATGTGTTTCAGTTTACCGTTTGACGTGGTTTATGTCAGGTAAATATATCACATTTGCTGCTCATCTTGGAAAGCCTCACCACATATGCTATGCTATTTGAATCAACAGGCATCATCTCCATTGCAGTCCTCTCCTCGTTGGTCGGTTTTCTCCTGCGGCCCCCTAAGGGGAACCAAGGTTGTGACTATTGAAGCCTCTGCAATCCAGTTTTGCTCACTCCAAAGGGAGAATAGCTGATGGTATATTCATATATGGTTACAATCATCCACATCATATGTTACTCCTGATGAAGCCACGGCTGTGGCGAAAAGCGTGGAGTATTTTCTACAACAGTAGCCATCCATTGATTCCAACTAAGGAATCACGGATCATAACTTATTATCTCTGTAAATTAGGTTTATGCTTACCAAGTTTAGGCTGAGCACCAATATGCATATATGTTTTTATGTTTCGTATTTTTAATGTCTTTAATAAATTCTGATATTATGGGCCGGTGAAGGTGCTATAATTGCCTAAAAAGCCCTCCATGACTTCCAGCCCTTAGCCTCTTGGCTACGGAACTGTCTCTTTTGTCTACATATTGCTTTATGGTTGTGGCTGTAGGACCTTCCCCTCTTGAACATAATCGTATTACTAAATATATCAACATGTCACCCTTATTCTTTTTCTCTGGATGCACCTGAGGCGCACAATTACATAACACTCCAACGTTTCTTGACATTAAACCTCTGTTAACCTCCTGTCTTTTCATGTGCGAGTTTTACAAGAAAATTACTTTGGGAAATGGTTTAAAAGCAAAAACAAGTTACTGGGTCAAGGCAATGACAAGGGTCCATTAATGCGGACAAAAAAACAAGCAACTGTAGGATGAAACTGAATACAGTAAACTCCCCATTATCTGGCATTCCAGCAACTAGCAAACAAAAAAGAAAAGAGGATAAACTCTCAAGCAACCAGAAACTAGTTATCCAGCATCTACCAATCCCCGTGGGAACCAGATAACTGAGTTTACTGTACCATATAAAAATTCCTCTAAACACTTTAAGAATTTTTTGTTTTTAAAATCATCTCAAATTGTCAAAAAAAACCAAAAAACAGAAAACTGAGAAATAAGTGGTTTCAATAAGCCAATAAAAACCCTGAGATTTATGGATGTACATTTCATTCGAATTGCCCCGCAGAGGGGACTAGATGTTGTGAACATTTACTTTACATTGACCTTCTATTTTGTGTAAAATCACAATGATCTGATTTCCAAGCAACTATGAAGTACCGGGATAGGTCAGAAAAACAAGCCTGCAGTATAAAACACAAAGTGCTCTTCACACAATTCATTAGCAGAACTGTTGTCACTGCAGACGTCAGATGGCCTTGCTCGGAGTTATCCTCGCTAGAACTCTTATGAAAACATTTTGACAATTGTTTCGCTGCTTGAAAGGAGCGTAAAGTTATTAAATCTCTGTAAGGTAGCAGAAAAAAAGGAAAATGGCATGATTTCAATACAATCTATTATACAAACCAATGTTTAAAGTGGACCTAGCATGAGATAGTTTTTTTTTCATGCCAAGTAATGCATAACACTTACAGGTTTTAATCACCTCTTACAGGGATCACAGTACTCCCCTGACAATGACAATGTACTTTTCTTATGCGACGGACAGAGCCATCTTTGTTTAGACATCATCCAGTGTCAGAACCTACTTCCTGAACTGAGATGCAGCCTCATGTACATCCTGGTGGCTGTGCAGTTCATGGCTGTGTTGACAAATGTCTGACAACGTTCAGCCTCCCTGCTGCAGCCTCTCCCCTTCATTAGGGAAGAGGAGACAGAGGAAATATTTTCTACTGCCAGAATGAGGACATCTTACCCCAGGCCAAGCCACTTGGCTGGAGCTCAAGAACTGCTTTTTAAATGATAAAATGTACAGCCTTGGGCTTCATGCACATGATGTTAGAAGCTGCGGCTGGGAATTCTTGCGGCAGGAATTCCAGGTGTGTCTCTACAGATGCAGCTGAGGTGCCCATTCAAGTTAATGACAGGCTGACAGCGGCTGCATCTGTGGCTGTCCACATGTATTAATACATGGAACGATTAACTGCAGAGAGAATGCATCCAATGCCAAGGATCCCTCCCGTTCCACAGATTATCGTCATATGTACAATTACATGCAGACAGACTGATGCAAGTTCTTGCTTCAGTCGCAGCTTCAATTGCCATGTGCATGAGGCCTTACAGGAAAATTATGTTGCCGTATATTGCGACTTCATATTGAAATACGAAGACTGGTAATGTTACTACAGGGTCCACTTTAAGTTGGCATATGTCATTTTGTCATGTGATGGAGCATTCACAAAATATACCTGAAAGCTACCATCAAATGACACAATCCTACTACATGCACAGTAACTCTCTGCATATCATAAGGAAGTGCGCCAGGCAAGGGAGGGATTAATATAATAAAATGGGGGCATGATGGACCAATGGCACAAGTTTACAGACACCACAATTATGGCGGCTGGCATGGTTGAAAGATAGAAGACAAAACATGCTAAGCTTCAGCGCCAGGAAACATGGGCAGAGTTGGGAAAATGGCAAACTAGAGCCACAAGCGAGCAAGTTTAACTACCTCTTTCGGAGAATTTCGAAGTTTGCTTTAGTTTGTAACTGTCTGAAACGAAGAAAGAGAGAAAGAAATAGAGATAGAAGTGAGTAGACTACCTAAACAAAGAGCAGAGAGAGCAAGTGCAGCAAAAAGACTGTAGGGAGCCCGTCAAGGAGTTCTTAAAGGAAGCTGCATTCCAAAAACTATCAGTGATCATGAGGAAGAACCAAGGACACAGGTGAGATTCAAGTGCAAGTGTGCAACAGCTTAACTCAAACCACCATTCAAAAATCTTCTTTAAGTGACAGAATTTTCCAAACGCCTTTGAAGTAATGGTACACATGCAATACACAGTTTCATAAAATCCCACACTCAGCACTTATACATTTTGTGGACACTAGTTTTTATATATTTTAGTATACAGGAGATACAAAAGATGAACAGTGGAAATGATCTGCAAAAATAAAAATACAAAACAGGAAGTAGACAAGATGGAAATACCATGGCAGACTACAATGAAGAATTAGAGAAATTTAAACAACCAAAAGCAGCTTTTGAATCTGTTTTGTATTGTGTATTTGTAAACAGGAAGAAGAGAGGAAGACATGTTTGAAGTCCAGCCTGGGTAACAAACCGTGGTAGAATTGGCGAGCCAAAAGGAGTTAGGGTTTACATACACTTTAAAGTATATCCGAATCCAAAACAGGTTTTGTGTATAATATATAAATATATACAGTAAACTCCCCATTATCGAGCATTCAAGCAACAATGTGCACTCTAGAAAACTTTGTCAGCAACTAAATTTATTTAGTTGCCAACAAAATTCTCTGTTTACATCTTGCTGCGGCCGGCGGCTAGATTCCTCAGCTGGCAGGTGAATGTAAACAATGGGGCAGTGGGTGTGTGCAATAGCCAGCCTGCTATTGGCTATGGAAATTTGAAATAGCCAATAGCAGAATCTAGCCAGAGGTGATGCTTGAGAGTGAATAGCATCTCTCAAGCAACCAGATAACTGAGTTTACCTTAAAAGGAGAACTTCAGGAATTTTTTATTAACCCTTGCAGTGTGGCTACCCCCACACTGCAAGCATTAAGTGCGTGTTTGTGTCTAGGGGCAAAAATAAAGATCTTCTCATCTGAAGCTTCGAGCCGGCCAGCTGTCACAGCGCTCCATACAGCCTGTCCCCTCCTATGCTGCAGCATTGGAATCTTCCTCAGCATCCATACATCTATACACTGTGTATAGAGATGATGATTCAGGGAGATTAGACCGCTGCAGAGGAAGGGGAGGGAGATTGGAAGGAGCGGTCTAACAAGCCAGCTCAGAACTTTCGGTGATTATGACTTTTTTTTTTTTTTTTTTAAACAAAGACACAAACACTTAACCCTTGCAGTGTAGGGGTAGCCCCACTGCGAGTGTTAATAAACAAAATCTCCTGGAGTTCTTCTTATAAACACATTTCCTAAATAAGCACTGCAGCTAATCATATTCCACGAATGAAGGGCCACCAGGGATAAGTAGTAAATGCATCCATAATCATTAAGAGATCCTATGGTCTGAATGTATGTAAATTGAGAAACAAAGATATATTATTTTTTATTGCTATTATGCTCATTTGGCAAATTCGGATTTACTTTCCTACGCAATGGGAGACTGCTAATTTAGTCATTTACAGTCCCAAATAAAGAATAATAATGGTTATGAGAAAATGAGGAAAATGACATCTAATTGCTTATGTTTGGCAATTTGCAGTATCCTTACGGTTCAATGTGACAGATTTCCATACAGCTGCATGCTATAGCACAGATGGTGCCCTGGGTTTCGCAGCTGTTACATGCATCTTATTGGTTTCTGGATGTTTGGGCACAGATAGGAGTTTGTTTCACACAGTATACCTTTGCCACACAGCAGAGGTGTGCATATAATACAATGCAAGAGTTAGAAGCAAAGTAATACACTTAAAATACAAAAAGCAGCTGCAAGTGCTGCAAAATTACTCAAGTAGTAAAAAGTTAGAGAGTGATAAGGAAAGCATATTGGGGGACAGTTATCAATTCAGTTGCACACCCAGGCAGTGTTCAACAGAAGCAGTTGGACAGATTTGTGGAAGATGTAAGACAGATGCATTATACTTGGGCAGCTTCATTCACAAATACCCCTTCAACTGCTCTAAAATAGAACAAAACTTGCCCCGGACCACTTCCTAACTGTACGCCTGTTTTCAGTTAATATATAATCTCCCGAGTATCGTAGCAATACAGCCAGTACCACACATCTATGGGGGCACAATGGTAATCCCAAAAGGTATAACCTTCAAGAAGTGCTGACCAGCAGGTATCAAGCCAGCACAGAGATCATTGCTTAAAAGTGGCTAGATCAGGTGACTCATCTCAGGTCTATGGTCCCTTAAAGCTGAACTCCAGGATAAGCAAATATTGGCATAAGCAATAAGCATTTGTTTTTTTACACTTGGGGTGCTTTGTACATTTCTTCCAAATCTGTGCACTAATTCAACATGAAACTTTTCCACTGTGCCATAGCTTCCTGCAATTAAAACGGGTCACTGCTGGTCTCTCTCCTTGTGCAGGGAGACCGGTCCTTGCATCTACCCTCTTCCTGGAGTTTTCAACAGTCAGCCTATAGTGAGAGGGCACACTACGTCCTTCACACAGCTCTGTTCTCTGTACACGCTATGTGCAGCACAGTGATGAGGTCACCACGACCTTTGCAAGGTAATATCTGTGTCTTCAAAGGCACTCTGCACACACAAGGTGAATTTCTATGAAGTTTTTGAAGCTTGAAGTTCAGCTTTAAATGGATAAGTTTTACTCCAAATGATTTCCACAAAATGTACTCACTAAATATTACATTAGTAAGGTAAAACAATCAGCTCTGTACTCCTCCAAAACACAAACATTTGGATGGCAGACATAAGGTACCTATATATTAGTAGGTTATTGGGTTAAGCAGCTGAATCATCATTTATTGGCCATAAACAAAGTCGAGTCTGAAAAACCCAGCTGGTGGATGCCTGAGCCAGACATATGGACCATGAAACAACCAGCAAGTTGTACAATGATACTGGTTGGCAGTGGGCTGCTGTGTTTGGCATAGTTATTGGCAAATTAGGCTGAAAGAGGTTTAATAAGGCTCCCAGTGACAGCATTGCGTAGAAACCTTTTTATTCCTAGGTGACAAGCAAGATTAGAGGTTAAAGGAGATCAGCAAAATAATCATCATTGAGATGAAATGCTTTCCCCTAATTTGTGGGGTAAGTGGTCTTTAAATTACATTGACATAAAAAGCACAGCAAATTGTCAATTTTCATTTAATTTAACAGAATCAATTAAGGAACTTGAGCACAAAGGCATTAGTCATTTGATTGCTTCCTAAGATAAATGATTCATAGAACATACAACATTAACAGATCCCCAGAGAACTGATTTCATTGTTACAAAATAGGCCACTGGCAGTTATTGGGCAGGAAGTATGCGGGGAAACATTTTGTTAAAAGGAGCACAAATCTACCAAGTGGTGCTAACAGAAAACAACTTCCTTTACTGATAAAGAAATCAACACGTCACAGGAGACTTTACTGAAAAGGAAATATGCATGGTTGGAAAAATGTTTTACCTAGGTAACAGTAACATCAGATATTTACATTAAAAAAATCCTATTTTCTAGAGCTTATAATGAAAATAAAACGTTGTCATCACAGGAGTAGAGACATTGAGCAGAAAGAAAATCAAATCACTCAAACACATCAGTTGCTCTCCTGTATTTAGTTATCACAATGGCAACGAGTAATAACTGGCAATATTCACAGCATGCTCTTACCCATTTTATATGATATGCTAACAGCAGAGATTATGATGCCACTTATAGGCCTGGTTTACACTTGCGGCACGTGTTTTTGCCCATTTGTCACATGTCAGCCTATTCATTTTAATGGTCTGTCCTCTACACGACAAACGCAGCAAAGAAGCTTGTGATGCAGTTTGAGCTGCGAGCTTCATTTTGCATGCATTTGGGTGCCATTAAAAAGGTAATAGTGCTCCAAGTGCATCATACGTTTTTTCTGAATCACATGAACACATACCAATGCACATGCTTTGGAGCATGTTCACACATACAGCAACCGTGAATGAGGCCTTACTGAAATGACAGTGCAAAGAGCAAAGATGAAAATTACAGGAACCAAATTGAAACAATTTTAACTGCTCTGATTAAAGCAAACTGAAGTCTGTTTGCTATGTGTTACTGTACTTTGAATGTTATTTTTTTGCTCTCTGTACTATTTGACTGAATAACCTGTGTATTAGCCAAACAGTTACCTTTCTTTATCTACAGAGGTCTCTGGCTGCAAAGACAAAAATGAGCATGTTTACACACCCCCTTTTATCTAAACCAAAAACTACTTGTCCAACTAAAGCGGGGGCCAAAATCTACTTGTCGTAATACAAAAATGATTTTAGCCAAAGCCTTATTTAACTTGCTAAAAAGTGCTTCTCATTGGTCAGCGCAGTCACCTGACCGCACTGACCATTGAGTGTTCACAATTTGTGAACGAAATTCAAAATACATAGCGCAGGGCTGCATTGGACGACAGTATGTGTATAGATTGTAAACCCGAACAGGCGGAGGGAAAGGACCCTTTAATGCACATTGTACGTGTTCGAGAGCGTTGCTACCTGGCTACCACAGTATGACACAGTGGAATGGGGGCAGAACTCAGCACCTACACACAATATGCCCTACGTGTTTATTCACATAAAAGTTTCACAAAAAAAATCGTTTTTTTACTTTATTGCTTTTTTTATTTTATTTTTTTTCCACTTAACTTTATTGCCATCACACAGGGGATAACAAGCCCCTATGTGATAGTGTTTGGAGGGGACAGGTTCCTCCCACATAGAAGATCGAGCACAATTCTGTGCTCAATCTCCTGTGCAGCCCGGCTTGTGACAGCGGCGACAGGAAGCGCTGTCAGTACAGCGCTTCTGTCTCACTGATCACACAGGGCAGATCAGGAAATGGATGTTCTCCTGTCTGCTCACTGTTCTTTACCCGGGGGGGAAAGATGGACAAACAGGCTGCTACAAGTGATCTGGGCGGCTGTACTAAATGTAGAGGTAAACCACCTGCCTGACGCCTGGGAAATGCAGAACTTCCCTTTGCAGCTGAGTGCCTCTTCCTGTAGTGCTGGCTCAGGTTGTGAACCTGCACACAGACACCGTGTATCCATTCCAGAGACAAGGCAGTCTGCTGCAAAACAGAAGTTCTGCCCAGCATGAGAAGAGATACGGATTTAAAAGGAAGAGCAGCAAAGAGAAGGGAAACAACCAGGGATTACAGTATTGTTTTATGTTAAAAAATCTGAGGGTTTAATGTCACTTTAAGTATAACCTTTAAACAGTGCAGATATACATTTCATGGGATGATAAAATACATCACTTGTGTAGAATACAATACTTGAGTACTGATGTAGCATGCAATATATCTACCACCTTCTCTATTGGCCAACAAAAATACATTGAAATTGTTAGAAAAAAAATATATAGTATAAAGCATAGTAAAAGTAAAAAATAGCATTACAAGTATTTTGGTGACTAATACATTCCCTTTAGAAAGTCCAGTAAAAAAAAAAAAAGGATGATCTTAACATGCCTTGTAAAATCTAAAAGGAAAACATAAAGTATGTACTAGTAAAGGAAGAGACTGATAGGTGAGACACTGAACCATCAACATAGTGACTATACCCACAGGATGAGTGATTGGACAACTTGTCAGAAAAGAAAAAACACACAACAATCCACAGGAAATCTGACTCACTGTCACAGGCATAGGGCTTGTCCCTGTCATCCATTGCAGCTGCATCCAGCTTCTTCCTGGCACCACTTAAACCTTTTCCCTAGAAAAAGATAAAAGAAAAAACTAATTGCAAAAAAATATATAGTTACACGATGGAGCATATCAATGTAAAATGGCAGGAAAAGGCAAATAATAATTTATTTACAAAGATATTATGACAAATTACCCAAAATAGTTGTACACATACTGCCTGCTAGTGCTTGGCTTTAACTGCTCAAATTAAATATGATCCTGCAGTTTCTTTTGTACACCTCAAAATAGGACTTGAGCCCCCCCCACAAAATATATTAACCCTTTTACGACCGATGATGGGACTATACCGTCACAATCATTCAGTTTATTAACAACCGTGTGACGGGATAATTCGGTCATGAGGTCCAATGAGCACTGGTCTGTAGAGGACACTCATTAAGTTACTGCTGTTGTTGGGTAGCTCGGCAGACCCTCAACAGCAGATTAGGTGGTCACTGCACTATGACCACAGCGATAGCTTATTGCTGTGATCACAGAGCTGTAACAGCCACAGAGCTGGCAGCAGCTCACTGTGTTGTGTAACAAAAAAAAAAGAAAAAAAAGTTTTCACAAAAGAAGTGTTAAAAAATAAATGTATTGATCTGTTTGCATGTAATCAGTGTGTGTGTGTGTATAAAAGGCCAACGAGCTTCTGGCCTCCTGACAGACCCTTGCATGGTATGTACCAGGGTATGTAAACTTTTGATAAGGGTCATTTGGGTAGTTTCTGTTGTCATTAGGATTGAAAAAGAGTAAACACAGTTGATTGATAATAAATGGCTTCAGCCAAACACTACCCATGAGTGAACACTACCCATGAGTGACAGAAAGGTTTTCGTGTTATCATTCATATGCTCTGAAAAATGGCCAGGAAATCATACATTCTGCCAGGGTATGTAAACTTATGAGCACAACTGTATACCCTAAAACTCACTTTTTCAAGTTTGATCAGTGTTATAAAAGTAGTATACATTTTATTCTCATTTGTCCAATTTAAAAATGACACTAAATTTCTGATTCCGATACAAAGCATTGCAAAGTTATTCACAAATAAAATAAAAGCTTATTTTCAGTTTTTAACAGCAAAAAAAATAAATAAATTACAAAATGAACAAAACCTAAAAAAACTTTATAAATGGCTAGAATAGTGAATTAAAAAAACATCAGGAAGAGAGAATGGGAGAAGGTGTTAACTGGGGCTAATTAGGGTAAACTAATGGTTAATAAGGGGTTAAAAATAACTTTGTTTTTTAAATATTGTCATATTGCTTTAAGTGACACATGCAGATGAGGCTCATCTAGTTGACCTGCAAATAAATGAAGCGGATAGATACAAAGTAACACAGTTACTTTTTCATTTACTCCATCTTGTCTGAACAGTGTTTATACCATTTTTTTGCAGCTGAAGCTTCTACACAGCAACTCCTAGCTGTCATTTTAACAGTTGGGAATTGTTGTCAAGTGTGAGGGAGGCAGGACAGGACGTACTACACACATCCACTGTACACTGCTGAAGTTTTTTGGGGCATGTGTGCAGCACATCCAATGTCCACAACTGGTTAAATATTAATCTTGGCACCAGCCTACAACATTCCTTTGCCCATCAGCATTCATACTGGAAGTGGAAGGAGCAGCATTGCAAGTCTATAGCCAATAATGTCACAGTGCTATGAATTTAACAGATTTGAAGAAATAGCACAGAAATGACCTCATCGGTAAGCTGCTGCTTTTTTACTAAGCAATGACAGGCTTGATCATCAAATCACATTGCTTTGATTTTGAGAACTGTAAACAGAACATTTGGAAAGCGTATCTTTATCTGGAAACAAGGTCAGTATGGAGTCACAATTCTTACAGAAATGTGCTTTGAAAATATACCTTGCAGTAAATATGAACTAGATTTCCCCCTTCCCTTTCCTGGGAGTTCACCCCTATTGTATGGCCACACTCACCTCCTATATTTGCATTAGTTCTGATAGGATATTAAAATAAAATTGTTTAAACAATTCAGAAATAATGCTGGTGACCCTTACTTTGGCTTTACCCTTCCCGCGTCTTTTCGGAGTATCTTCTTCATAATCTTCATCATCTAGGTCATCCAAAAAATCATCAGGATCCAGAATTCGCTGTGGGATGCAGAAAAGCATACATAAATGAACAATGTACAGGCAATAAAATCCAACCACCAAAACTCAGAGGGATTACACAACCTACCATTAAAAATAAACTAAAACTAGCAACGTGTGTTGTACAATGCATTTAAGCTACTGAAACAAAGTGTACTGACTGGTGTATTTCACCACATGTCTGAAGGTTCTCATTCATCCAGGTCGTGGTATATCTGTAAAAAATAAGTCAAGGCAACTGGACTTGCTGTATTTTTTTGGACGTTTCACTGGTCATCCAACCAGCTTTCTCAATTCAGAAAGCTGGTTGGATGACCACTGACACGTCTTCATGAAAAATACAGCAAGTCCAGTTGCCTTGACTTATTTTGTACAGATATTTCACCAGATGGCTTTGTCCAGTTGTCTTACATTGCTCATTCACATCTCCATCATTTCAAAAAAGTGGAGACAGAAAAACATGTACCATTTCTAATAATTAAACCTTGCACACAATACATCTCAGGATATTAATGGGATGATTTTGTGAGAAGCAGTGTTACAAGACTGGACTATACATGCAGGGTTGATCAGTGACCAGGCACAGATTATATGCATGGTGCGATGGAACACTCTAGATGAAAAATAAAATTTTTACATTTTGTACACAGACATATTTTCCATCAAAAGGATTTACTAAAATATTTTTACATTTTGGCACTGAAAAGTATTTGCCATTACTTACTTGTGCCTGGCTAACATAGTACAACACACATTTCAGCTTAGACTCCTAACTGAAGCAGAGTGTAAAAGGCTAAACAGATGCTATGCTTACTGGAAAGAGACTACAGTCTCAAATGATCATGTGATTCCCCAAGGGAGTGCGTAATAATGAAACATCAGTGGGCAGTCATGAAAATATTAGAACTCCAAACAAAGCTGCATCTTGTCTTGACTGAGGCACTATGAATGTTACTTCACTTTACAAAAGGAAAGAAATGCGCTTTGTAAATGCTGGCATCAATAACTGACATTAAAACACATTTGAATCTGATTACTACAAACTAAAAATTGTACAGAAATGCTTTAATTGTCTTTGTAAACAGAAAACTGGAATGTCAATAAAGGAATTAGATTCATCTCATGAGAAATAGAAAGCAAAACTGTTCCCACAATGAAATCCAAATGATAAATATATTGTAAAGTAAAGCATTATATTCCCTATAGGTCCCTTATAATGCAGGTAAGACATACTCCCTGACATCAGGGGCATTCACAGGTTTAATCTGAGCACTAGAAACCTGATTCAGCCTGTTCAATTTAATATCCAGGAACCAGTAACAGGGTGGAAGATGACAATAGGACTCCATGTTTAATGTGCTTTCCAGAAAGCACCGAAGGAAGTCTTAGCCGGATACCATATTAGAAGATATATTTCAGTCTTTGGTTAATGCTGAAGCATTAAACCACACAGCAATTCCTTACATCTGCTGGGCAAGGCATCTGTGCTAGAGTTTCAGGGTCATTAAAAAGGGGCTTCCCAAAGGGGCTTCCCACTCTCCCTGTTGGTCTTTTTATTTATATTACAACAGGAGATGGCAGGCCACACTCATAGCTGGTGAGAACACTTAAGGGCACAGTAAGGAATCATTGCAGGAAAGTCTCACTGTATCCACAACTTAACCCATTTGCTGCCAGGCCCTGCTCTCCCCTTTTAACCTCGGAGGCCAGACCATTTTTGCTAGTTTTAATTTTTTTCTTAATTGTGAAATGGTGAAAATAAAAGCTGAAAAACTGAAAATAAGCAACTTATTTAAATCTGGAGATAGGCTCTATACTGAAGCATTGTGGAAAGCCTGACCCACAATGATGCAGGCATTTATTTTATTGCAACGTGCTAAAGCGTAGAGTTAAATAAATGTAATACAAAAAAAAATGTTTTAAAATCAAAGCACTGTAATGTACTGTAACAACGCACACCAGTGCACATGTGTTATGTGGACCATAACGCGCATCTGCTGGTGTCAGTGGGTCCTTTGTGTGGGTGTGTAATTTCGCTTTTCTAGGGACACGGAGCCCTCAATCTCCTTCTCATCAGCTGGCACATACTACTAAACACAGAGGAAATTGGTATTAAGCACGTCCAGTTCATTCACAATGTAATTCATGTTTACAACACCTTCATTTATGAACACTAGAGTGTGCAGCATTGAGCACCTGTGAGTTTATTCAGGAAAGTGAAGGGTTCACCAATTCCCTGGACGTCATCATCTGATCTTCCCCAGTGTGTGTCAGCGCTCTGCTCGGTTCCATGTCCCCCTCGCTACCTCCTGTCTCTACAGATTTTCATTTCACAATGCGAGCCCGGGATCAGCAGGTCGCCTGTGTCACATGGGATCAGAGGGAGCTTGGTACATGAGCTCCCTCCGGTCCCCTCTCCTCTGCAAGAATGCGGAAGTGTTGTATAATACATCGCTTCCGCATTCTTGTGTCACTCTCCAGCTTCAGGAGCTGCAAAGAAGCTGATGGAGCAGATCTGTGCTTCATCAGCTTCTTTTGGGAATTTTTTTACAGTACAGTATTTTTACAGTATTGTCGGGATCCATCCCGGCAGTGGCGTCTCAGTATACTGCGAGCTGTACTGAGCTTTGGGTCACGGGAGAACATTTGTTTGTGTTCTCCCGAGACCCTTAGGAGAACTATGGGGAAAAGCCCTGACCCCATAGTTCTCCTTTATGGGCAAAACACACTTTTCTGTTGCAGTATCCAGTAGGTAGAGAGTCTCTCCTTGGATGGATTTAGGGCTGCAACTGATTTTCATAATCGATTCGTTGGCCAATCATTTGTTCCGATAAATCGGATAAAAAAATAACAATAAAAAAAGATATCCTCAATTTGAAATGAAATACACAATTGCAGGGTTACAAAGTTTTACTTTAGAATGAAACTGCATGCACAAGTTTTTGCAATCGCACCGCACTGGAATGCACACCATTGGGGTACGGTGCATTCCAGTGCAGGCAATCACACTGTAGGTGGGAGGCAATTGAAATTAATGGCACTGCAACGCACGTCCTGCAGCAAAATTTGTCAGGCTGAAACCGAAAATGACTTTTTTCCCCACCTTTTATAATTTTGTAATTGTATTGTAAGCATATGGCGCTTGAATAGCTTCCGCCAGGGAATGACAAGATTCCGCAGACGGCAACTGAATGTAAATACAGCAGGTAGTAGGCTGGCGCAAAAACCAGCTATTGGCCATTTCAAATTGCAATAGCCAATAGCAGGCTGGCTACTGTACCCGCCCATTGTTCGCTGTGCCCTCCTCCCAGCATGGAGGAGAGCGTTAGGGGATCAAACCAACTAATCGATAATGAGAATAGTTGAAAATTCTCGATTTAAATCGGTTGCAGCCCTAGATGGATTTAAGGTGGCATGTGTTTCTGCCAAGTACCTTTTTAAAGTGGAAGACTTTCATTTAAAATAAAGTTTTATTTAAGATATCACAATGCCAGTGTTTATCTGTTTTGTAAAGAGCTGCTGGGGATATCCTTTTTAACAGCCAGTAGTGCCAGTGCTGTCACAGTGTGTATGCATGCAAACAATCTCTTTCCCAGCAAAAGAATACTACTGCCTTGACTGCCAGGAGCCAGCCCATCCAATGTCTTCATGGAAAGGCCTATTGGGACATGTAGTTAAGGAGAGGAAGAGGTGCTACATCAAAAGAAACTGAACTAGTACACCCTGCCGAATTTTAAAAACTTGGTTATGACATCACAAAGCGTAATAAAAACAGTCTCTTGCTACAGGAACAATGTAAAACGAAAAAAATAAATGCTCAGGCATTGCTCTAGGGTGGAGAGTGCAATTTGGGCATAAAAAGGGATGTGTCTATAGATGTGTTTTATAGCTTTAGTTGACCCCAGCATTACATTAACACATGGGTCCCACTTCACCTACTGCAGCAGGAGAAATATAAATGTATGCTGTATTCTGTAACATAAAATAAATGGAAACCCCCTAGAGCAGGGGTGTCAAACTCAATTTAATCGTGGGCCGCATCAACATTATGGTTGCCCTCAAAGGTATCTGTAAGACTATATAAATGTATCTAATCTTGATCATAATTGCCTCTGCATTCAATTATCACTGGTTTTAGTAATAACTTAATACCTAGATCTGAAAGTAGAAGTCTAGGAAATGGCCTGGTGGGCCGGATTCGGCCCCTGGGCCTTGAGTTTGACGCATGTGCACTAGAGGTTGAAAAATCATAAAGGCTACAGTAGCTGGGTAAGCCTAAAGACTGAAGTACAAATATACTGCTAAAGTCTCCAAAGGCTTTAAAGCTGATATAACACAATGTCACCAATACAAAACTAAAATGTATCTGTTTTTAGTGTACTGATCTTTTAGACCCAAAACCATTTGATATGCAAGTCTGCCTCTGAATAGGCCATTCTGTGTGCCAAATGCATACGTATGGACAGAAACAAGATAATACCAAAGTAAGGGTACTAGGTCAAGTTACCCATATACTCCATACTTTTGGAGGGGTGTCCCAATACTTTTGGTAATATAGTGTGTATATATAGTAAGGGTACTATGGCAAGTTACCCATATATTCAAAATATATGGCAAGAGATATCTATCTAGAACACACACACACACTTTGTCTCAATGTACCAAATACACTATTGGACATCCAAAAGAAATCATGGAATCTTTTTTCTTAAACAAAATGTTATCTAAAAATGTTTGACTCATCATATTAGCCAACTTTTGCAGATATAAAACAGCTAAACACACTCTTTGTATTCTTTCTACAACAGAAATCAAATATTGTTCAGAAAGTTCTTCCCAGCACTATTGCAGAAGTTCCCACAAATGTGTTGCACTTGTAGGTTGCATTGCTTTCACCCTTCTGTCCAGTTCATTCAAAACCAGCTTGATGGGGTTTAAGTCTGGAGACTATGATGGCCATTCCATGATATGAAGCATACCGTCTTCTAAAATAGTTCTGACACAGCATGGAGGTATGTCTTGGGTCATTATCTTGCTGTAAGACCAATCTATGACCAACTAAGCGTACAGCTGCGGGTATTGCTTGGTGCTGCAAAATGCTGTGGTAGTAGTTTTGGTTCAGGGTAATGGTCTGTCTTCCTTTGTTCATTGCCTGTTTCTAACCATTTTGAGAGCAATACGCTACTTCCTGCAGTACAGTACTGTCCAAATATAGCTTAAAAGGAGAACTATGAGGGGAGTGCTTTTCACTCACCTCATAGTTCTAGCCGACCTGTGACAATGGGACTGTCACAGGTCGGCTCAGTAGATCGGGAGATGAGCGAACACATACCGCTCTGTGCCGTGACAGGGGAGGGGCTGGATTCCCCCCTCCCCGCTCCGATCCGCCAGCGCTGACTGGCAGTATGGACGGGGGAGGGGGCAGGTACAGCTGGCTCTGCCTCTAGATAGGCAGAGCCAGCTGTCAGTCACGCAGCTGGGCGGATCCCGGCATAATTGTCGGGATCCGCTTCAGCATCTCAGTATACCGCGAGCAGCGGTATACTTTGTATAACTCTGAAATGTACATTATTTTTCAGTTTTTGCTAAGCAAGACGTTTTTTTCAACTTTACCGCTTACCTTTGTACCATTTCAGGTTCTTCACTGGACTTGACCTAATTACAATTCAATAAAAAAATAGGGGTGTACTAAAACATTTGACCGTGTGTGAGACACACACACACGAAAATAATGATTTGATCCCTTGCAGATTTTGTAAGTTTGGCCACTTACAAAAAAACTAAAAGTTAGAATAGAATTATTGTTGGTTGGTAGGGGATCAAATACTTATTTTACTCACTGAAATGCAACTCAATTTATAACATTTGTATCATGTGTTTTTTGTGGATTTTTGGTTGATATTCTGTCTCTATCATTTAAAATACACCCATGATAAAAATTATAGACCTTTCATTTCTTTGTAAGTGGGCAAACTTACAAAAGCTGTAGGGGATCAAACACACACACGTTAGCTGCATTCAGACCTTATTTATCTGAAAACAGTACATAAATCCGAGTACTAATAAAGGTGACCTTAGTTTTCGTGCTTCCTCCCCACAGCTCCCTGACTTGTGTCTCAGCTCCTTGACTTTACCATGATAATTCCACTCGCTACATAACGCAGCTTCACGCTGTTGGCTTGTACCTTCCGTGGTCGACCAACAACAGAAGGGAACTCTGAAAGACTGTCATCATCACGAGGATCAGGGACAATTCGCTTCTCAATGGGCTCTGCTCGCAGAAGAGCTTCTAGGCTACTGCCATCTTGTGGAATCAGACCTTCTTTCTTCAGAATCTGCTCTGAGTCAGCTGAAATTAAAAAACAAAAAATATAACAATAGAGACCGTCTTCTCTGTGCTCTAGTCCATGTGTGCAATCAATTTAATCCTCAGGTCTCAAGTTGAGGCCAAAACAGAAAGCAATGTAAAAGCTTTCGGTGTGAAAAGGTTTTACCAAAATATAGTTGGAAAAGTGTGACGATGCTCTGATTTTTGTCTTTATAAAACAATTCCCCAGGCTTCCAGGTTCCATCTGCTGCAGTCAACACAACTGTCTTTTTTTTCATATTTTAAAGAATTTTACTGAAGGAATGAAATGCCCTAGCAGGAGGATTTGGGCACAAAGACTTACAGGTAGAAGAAGCTGGTTCATCTTTCATTCATCTCTCCAGCATTGTAAGAACTAAAACATGGGTTTTGTGTGGACTGATCCATTTAAACACCAATGCTGAAAACCTTTTTAATCGCCTCCTGGCTGGCCTTTGTTAAAGAACAGCCGGCCGGGAGCTCTCTGGACCTGAACGGGCATTTTTAAACGTACGCTTAACCACACGAGAGCGGGCAAGTGCCACATGTTAAAAACAGGCAGCGCCCCCCCCCTCGCCACTGTCCCCCGGCTCAGCTGTGCCCGATGCGAGACCGGGACCAGCATAGTGGCTCTGTGACAGGGAATCAGAGGGAGATCGGTACACAATCTCCCTCCGGTCCCCTCTCCGTTGTCAGAATGTGGAAGTGATGTTCATTACATCTCTTCCGCATTCTTGTTGTTTCACTCTCCAGCTTCAGAAGCTGGAGAGAAGCTGATGAAGCAGATCTCTGCTTCATCAGCTTCTTTGGGGGACCCTAGGTGACATTCGGGGTCTTGGAGACCACTGATGTCTCCATAAAGAGGACCTGTCACATCTGTGCAATCACATAGGGGGGTTTCTTAGCCCCCTATGTAATAACAATAAAGTTAAGTGGAAAAAAAAATTAAAGTTGTTAAAAGAATTTTTTTTAACAAAAAACGTTTTTAAAGTCCCCACCCATACATGCACGCAAACATGCGTCGGGTCCGCATAGGTGCGAAAACGACGATTGCGCCCATTACGTCGCACCTTACATATCACCGCAAACGTCGCAGTGAGAGCAATAATTATAGGGCCATCAATCACTGATAACACTAAACTGATGAGCGGCAAAAGCATTTAAAGCGTCACCTATGGTCAATTTTGGGTATTGTAGTTTTTTGCCATTTTGTGGGTGTGCACAATTTTAAAGTTTGACATGTTGGGTGTCTATTTACCCGACTGCCACGTCTTTTAGATTTTTCCCAAAAATTGGGTAATAAATGTTTTAAAACATAAAAAAAAACGTATTTTTTTCAACATTTTCAGTATTTTTTCCTTAATATAGTAAAAAATAAAACCCCCCAGTGGTGATTAAATACCACCAAAAGAAAGCTCTGTGTGTCCCCAATAAATGGTATAAAATTAATTTCAGTATAGCGTTGTATGACTGAATAAATGTCAAAGTACCGCAGCACTGAATACTGAAAAATGGCCGGGACAGAAAGGGTATAAACACTGCGGTCAGCAAGTAGTTAAAACCCACTAATGAACTGATAATAGATTTTAAATAGTAGGATTTGCCTGTGCACTTTAACTTTTTGAATATGTGTTAAATTACCATTGTGAAAAATACAGCTTTGCCTAAACTCTGCATTATATGTGACCTTGTCATGAGAGATGTATTAGGGGGGCTGCAATTGTTGGCCTCCTTTATAAAAAAAAACAAAAAAAACAAAACACAACAACAAAAGCTTGTTGCCTGGCACCATTACTTTGAGGCACAGACCCACAATATGCATGCTGTAAATGAGGGTCAGAATTCTTATCTCTATGCTGGTTTCATGTCAGTGACTAATGTACTAACATTTTTAGAAGAAATGGTTAGTAATGGCAGCCTGCATGATAGTGAAATGATGGAAAACAAAAAACACAAAAACATCTATGATAATTATTTGAGTAAAAATAGACAGCAAGGGAAAAAACACCAAAGTTATTTAAAGCCAAATTGAACCTCAAATCAGCTAAACACATGTCCGGTGCATAAAACAAAAGCTGTGTAAAGTCTAAAGCCTCCCCTGAAAAAGGCCCATCGGCTGATGAGCAGAATGGCGACTGTCATAAAGCAAAAGATGCTTCTAGAGAAATCTCAGAAGCCAAGCAGACAATACCTCTGAATAAATTATTGTTGGACATAACTTTTCAGACCATTTCTCATATCAATGGATGCTTATTGCTGGCTTGTAGAACAGACTGATTGCCTCCTGAATAGTACAGTAATTTAGCCTCCACTGGTGCATGGGTACCAGAAGATGATTCCACTTTCCTCCAAAGAGGAGAAATATCCAATAAAATGAGTAGATATTGCATGTATTTAAGACCGGCTCCCAGGACCTCCCAAACTCATTAATTCACATAAAAAAATAAAAAAAAAACAATCTCCTGCCACACTATTTAACCCGACAGGTAACAGCCCTATTTTCTGTTTCACATTGTATCTCCATTAAGCCGGGTTCACACCTAGGCAGCATCATTTTTGCACGTTTGTACGCGCGTGTTCAGTGTGCGGTTACTTGCACGTTGATGCACGGTTTAAAGGAGAACTATGAGGTGAGTGAAAATAACTCAGCCTCATAGTTCGAGCCGACGTGTGACAATGAAACTGTCATACGTCGGCTCAATAGATCGGGAAGTGAGCAAACACATACCGTCGCTCGCTCACTTCTCGACCATGTCCCTGCAGAGAGCCGTGACTGTCACTCACGGCTCCCTGCAGGGATTCCTCCCCGATCCTCCAGCACTGACTGACGGAACGGACGGGGCGGGTACAGCTGGCTCTGCCTCTAGATAGGCAGAGCCTGCTGTCACTCACGTAGCTGGGTGGATCGTAACAGTAAGGGGATCCGTCCCGGCTGCGGCGGTCTCAGTATACCGCGAGCTGTACCAAAAACGCGCTGAACTACCCAAAGAAGCTCGTGTACCTTTTCAGGCGTTTTCTCACTCAGGTGTGAACAGGGGTCATAGAAAATCATGGGATTTCTGGTGTTGGGCATTTAAAAGCGCTTTCTCAACTGCTCAAAAACGCTTATGTGTAAACTAGGCCTTAAGGTCTGCTTGAACCTTTTCATGGAAAACACAGAGGCTGGCAATGACAAACAGTAATTCTAAATCACTAGTTGTCTGGCTGTCATGCTGATCCTCTAGCTTCACAACTTTGTCACTAAAACCAAAGTAAGTATGTAAATAAGGGCTTCTGAATATCCTGTCCTGCATACTGGTATCAGATCAGTGACCTAAAGTACTGAAGTCAGAGAGCATAACAGGTCAACCCACTTCTTATTCGGCATCTAATAAATAGTCAGCTGTCAAAAGAAAGCTGTAAAGCTAAAACAGCAAACTGTGGACTTGAAGTTGAACTGAAGGCCTGCAAACAAAGAAATCACCAGGTATAGTTTTTGGCAGAAGAGACATGCATAGTCTCGGTTGCCAAAGAATCATTTTCCTGGTGTTTTTCTGTACTGTGCGCGGTGCGTGCAGTCTACATGCTGGCTCTATCCTTAGCATGCCAGAGCAGAGCTGGGTGCCGGGGACAACGTATCTGCTACAGTATGAACAAGAGTTACATAATTACTGGCTAGTCAATGGTTGAAAAGGATCACCACAGGACCCTTCATCACTGGAGGACAGCACAGTAGGAGGAAGGTGTGACAAAACATGAAAGTATGCTGTTTACAGTTGGACAATATGTTAAAGGAGAACTATGGGATTAGGGCTTTTGCCCATAGTTCTCCTTAGGTTGACGGGAGGACACAAACTAGCATCCTCCCGTCACCCTAAGCTCAGTATACCGCGAGCTGTAGCGAGACGCTGCAGCTGAAGCGGATCCCGACAATTATGTCCGGATCCGCCCAGCTGCATGAGTGACAGCTGGCTCTGCCTATCTAGAGGCAGAGCCAGATGTACCCGCCCCCTCCCCCGTCCGTTCTGCCAGTCAGCTCTGGAGGATCGGAGCGGGGAGGGGGGAATCCAGTCCCTCCCCTGTCACGGCAGAGAGCAGTGACAGGATCGAGAAGTGAGCGAACGCCGGCATGTGTTCGCTCACTTCGGGAGCTACTGAGCCGACCTGTGACAGTCTCATTGTCACAGGTCGGCTAGAACTATGAGGTGAGTGAAAAGCACTCACCTCATAGTTCTCCTTTAAGAGCTCAACCACACAAAGTTTTAATTCAACATTAACAGAATTACCAAATGTTTGAGAGGTAGGATCCACATCGGTAGTTTAACTGTGTAATCAGCTGTTTGCTTGGAGTTCTGCTTTAGAACATCTACATGTAAATGATCTCTACAATACCTAACCGCCTCACAAAATAGATTTTCTCCAGCCCATCACACAAATAAGGAGAAGCATCAGTGTGCCGATTCTTTTTTTTTTGGTTCACACCTACTCAGATTAGATGAAGAACAATGACTACAATAAGTAACAAAATTAGGGCCAGTATTAAATGGGGCTTTTGATACAAGTTTATGAGAAGGCAAATCAAATGCAGGTCAGATGACCGGTCAATCAATTCTGAATGATCTCAGAAGCGTCTTAAACTGATATAATCAACAAGCTCAAAACAATTATACACAGGCCCTTTTTCAGAGAGGAGTTTGGAAGATAAAATCATCAGTCGCCACTGAAAGAAAACCCTCTGTAAAATAATGACATTACCTGGTTTCAAAGATGGGAAAGTAAGCCGTGGGTCCTCAGGAGGGTGTGCCCTCCGCCTCTTCCGCCAACGCCGAGATGGATAAGTATAAAGTTGCCCAGGAGCTGTACCTTTATATAGTAGAGGACAATAAAGTGAATTTAATCATGTCATAATTCGAGACTTCACACACTCACAGCACTATTTTATTATTTCAGGTAATTATACCAGTTTCACACAAAATAAAATTTCTTATTTTGTAGGGATGCACCGATATATCGGCCAAAATGCCAAAAGTGCCATTTTCCTGCCGATACATCGGCGCATCCCTGCTTTCTTTCCTCCCCGCTGGGCGCTGCTCTGTGACCCAGCGGGAAGGAGAGAAAGTGTCACAGGAGGCCAAGCGCTGCGGGAGAACGCTGTGAGCGGCCGGCGTCTCTCCTCCCACACCGCTCAGCCTCCTATTACAGTCTGTCAGAGCGGTGTGGGGGCGGAGACAGCGCTGTCACAGGAGGCTGAGCTCTCCTCCCTGCTCAGCCTCCTGTGACAGCGTGTCAGAGAGAAGAGCAAGGGCAAACACTCAGCGATCGCTGAGTGTTTGTACATAATTGAGGACATGGTACAGTATGTGTACTATATCCTCAATTCTGAATGAATGGGAAATTATCTGCATCACCTCCTGTTCATAATTGTGGTTATAGCAAACATACTCTGTCATGTTATGAATGAACAGGAACACTCAGAGGATTCCTGTTCATTTATAACAGGGGATACAGAAAAAGAGATAAAATAGAGGACTCAATCTCTTTTTCTAAAAGGGAAATATCAGGGGTCTGTTTAGACCCCTAATATTTCCCCGAAGCCCCTAAAAGTAAAAAATAAAAATATTTAAGAAAAAAGAAAAATATAGTTTATAAAAATAAATAAAAATAAAATATGTTAAAAAAAAATTGAAAAAATTAAAAATAAAAAACTTTCGGTTTCGGCCTGACAATTTTTTTTTTTTCGGCTTTGAAATTTCCATTTCGGTGCACCTCTATTATTTTGTAATATCATACCTGGACCTCTGTGCCTTTTCTCCATCCATATGTAACAGTTACTCTGAGCCACCCCAGTTTGAGAATCCAAGAAAGGCATTCGAACACTACGCTCTGCACACAAACGTGCATTGTAATTGTGGCATTGTTCCATGGCATCTCTGTAATACTGCTCACCAATGCTGCATTTAGAAGAATAATATATATTAGTATACAATGGTATAATCCACAAAACAGCAGGCGTTTGCTCAATGATTTACAGCCTTCAACACATTAACTTCTACAGTAAAGGACAGTCATTACTCGAGACTGAATATCGCTGGTTGTTGTAGAAGATTTGGTACTCACAGAATGGAATAGGATTCTATAGGTGCCCATAGGCACTAGATAACTGTTTCCACATCTAAGGACAAACTAACACATATAGGCCAGGAGCACGAGCCAAGGTTAATCTCGTGACCTGTCCAATCCACACAAAGGGAGGGAAATGCCCTTTTAGACAAAATGCCAACAAAACAAGTGTCCCCATTGGAAGATTTCTCCTGAATTGTCTGGGGACACCTCTAAATTTTGATTTTCCCACCCTTTCATACAGACAGAGAGGGTTTCTCTCTCCCGAACAGAGACACGCTCGCAGTAATAAAAACCTCACTGGTCTTCTCCCTTGCCACTCTATCCACAACTGAAACAAATCCTAACAACCAGTGTAGGGTACGGCTATGACTTTACAGCTGAACTCCAGGCAAACAGCTAAATAAATATAAGGGAGCTATTTTAACTGTCAAAGGATTTGTATTTATGTCCACAGCTCTGAGATTTACATGGCTGTGCCACACAGTGCAGCCCTGTCTCACAACAGAGGGTGTGAACTTTTCCTTCCACAGGTCTTGTCCCTCTCCAATCATGACTGAACAGAGAAATGAAAAGCAGCACACTGATAAGCTTATGTCTCTGTCAGTCACTCAACCCCCTCCTCCTGTTAGCATGCTCCCTTCATTGCAAAACAACTGAATGGCTCCTTCTGCTGCTTGTTTCTCCTCTAGTCTGAGCTCTACTGTTCAGGTACTGCATGAGGCTGATCCCAAGTCAGATTCAAGAACTTACATTGCTTGCATTTATAAAACACATTGAATGTATTAATTAATACAGAGCTGCATTAACTGGTGGTGTTTATATCTACTCAGAGTTCAGCTTTAAAGCATATCTAAAACCAAAAATCGCATTGCAGTTACAGTTCATTACTTTACAGGTGTAAGATGTGGCGGATAAACTGGTTTTCTTTTTTTCAGCAAGTACAGAAAATACCTGTTTATCTTGCCAGAAATGCAGTGTTCATGTCACCTCCAGGGAGCTAAAAAGAAAGCACAAAAAATCGTATCCTTCTACTAGTTCCATCAATTCACAATGTACTGGAGATGAACATATTAGACATGTGCAATGCCAGACTGTGCATCGCGGATGCATCCATAGATACAATGGAGAAATGAGTGTAGCCTCGGAGGGACAGGAAGTATCTAATATGCAGGTTTACAAGGTGAATAAAAAGGGAAAGAGCCGATAAGCAAATGCAGCTGCCACATCTATAGATTGGTAAACTGCAACAGATTACGCTTTTGTTTTTGGGTTTAGATATACGCTATTGAACAATCCTCACATCCTGTAACATGAATAAACAGCCCCATTATGTAGGCATGTGAAAAGAATTTACACTTTGCAAATTACCAAACGGGATTAGTTATACAAGTTTCAACATTCACACATACATTTTACAAACAATGACATTGTTTATACAAATATTTAGCATGCGGGTAACCGGTTACAACCCACAACATGTAAGGCTTTGCACAGCACTGTAACAGTTCCTTAGTGACACTGTGACTGGTGTCACAGCTCCTATAGATATATCTGCCTTCAGTTAAAACGAATACATTCAAAATCATCCTTCTATTCACTTCACCAATCGATGCTCACAGGAAACGTAAGGGGGGTTATTTTGTTTTCTTCAATGTTATATTTGATGAACATACTGTGAAAAGGGATTTATTTCTGTAAATGAACAATTTTCAGTGAAAGCAGCATTATTGTTTAAAAATAACTGCTATTAAAATTAAAACCAACCTAAAATGATTGCCATTTATACCAAGTGAAAAATGCATCAGCAGAGGATCTTTGCTTGTTACGTGTTTTTGGATCGGGAGCTCTGCCAGCCACTAGAGCAGAGATCATTAGTACAATGATAGGATCAGAGACAGGGGCCCACCGCTACAATCAGTTAAGGGCAGGGCATGGAGTGGGGGAGTTAACATTTTTATATAAAAGTCAAAATATGAGTACTGAAGATTTTGCTGAATGTTATGCATAGTGATACAATTTACCACACTTGCTGATTGAGGCCCGTTCACAAAGATAGTCTGTTCAGATCCACCTGTCTGTTCTTCAGACAGATCTGATCAGAAGCCCAATGGTACACTATGGGCAACCAGATCTAAGCAGGCTTGCAACCGTTTACATCCAATCACCCCCAACTTCATCTAGGGCCAGAAAAAAATAAGAACAGAGCTCCACTGTAGCAGACCCAATTGTGACGGATCGGAGGTAATTGGATGTAAACAGACACGTCAGCTAACATCTGACTGTCCATAGACCAAACATGGGTCCGTAAAGCTCAGTTTTTCTTCATCACAAGATGTTGCGTTCTCCTCTGATCTCTGAACGGAACAGACGATGCCCATATGAGAGCAGCCTCATGTAAAACCACCTACACTTAAATCTGTGTGGCCACTAGACACAGATCACATGATGCAAACAAGTGTGTTATACAATGCATTCACATTACTGAAAGTGCCAGACCACACTTTCAAATTTCCAAAATGTCAAGGGGAGGAAAATGCATGTGAAAAGTCAAATTATATTTAAAGCCAAAACTTTTTTTTCCCTTTTGGATAGGAAAGTAGCAAATTATTTAAACATCAGTCTTTTTCCAATCTGTTCCCCCATTGTGGAGAATTCACTTTACTTCCTGTACTGGAGGAAAAAAACAAAGAGGAAGTGTGTACAAGGTGAGGGAAATCACAGACAGTTGTCACCAGAACAAGTGTCCCCATTAGAAGATTTAGCCTCTATTCCTGTTTTGTAGAGTGATGGTATGATTCAATAAACCATTGCTACTGCTTTTTACACACACACACACACACATTTTAGGGATGCACTGATACCATGCACTGTACTCAGTACAAGTACAGATACTTTTCGAGCACCAAGACTAGACTAGCGAAAAATGTAAAAGTTAGGAGGCAGCTGTCATTTGTAAGGAGCACACGGAGCTCCTGGGATTTGTACATCTCTGTTTTAATGTACAATTTTGTTTTTATACATATAAAAAAAGGGATGCACCGATACTACAATGTTTGCAAGTACAAGTACTGATACATTTTTGTTTATTGTCATGTGACAGTTTTTCAACAACAATACAGACTACTGATATCAGGACAGTGGTGGAGCACCAGAGCCAGGTTCCAGCTGCTACCCTGGTAGTTCTCATGAAAATGCCAAGTATCGGCACTGGTATCTGAAAAGTATCGGTGCATCCCTAATATATATGTGTGATTGGCCTTGGCTCTAGCAGAGCATCTGCTCCATCAGAGGCAGCCATTGATAGAAGGGTAAACAATGGGAGCTCACATCCAGCAGCTGCCTCTCTCACAGGAGGAGGAAACAAACAAGTGATTGTGGCTCCTCAAGTGTAAACATTGTTACCTTCGCTATGATTCTTTGCTACATGACATTTAAAAAGTATCAGCTCCCCCGGGGGAAAAAAAAGTGTATGGGGTATCTTTATTATAACTCACATGACTGCTGGGGAACACCATTTACTAATCATGCTGGGGCTACATCAGCAGTCTGCCTGTCCACATGAGGTAGAACTACGACTCACAGCATGTCTCGCCTGTCTATGAATGGCACGCTGGGACTTATATTTCTACAAGAGCAACACACATACATTACGTGCAATGCTGCCTCAGAGAACGACCCAGGACAACACACTGGTCAGTCACTTCTCTATGGCAACCAGCCTCTCTATGGGAAAACCGTGCCACCAGCGCCCGAGGACAGCGCCCTCACTGCCGCTTCTCCTCTATCTCTTTCCTTGCTCCACCACCTTCCCACTTCACTTTCTCCCATTTCCTCCACTCACATCTTCTCTACAGCCGCCGCCATCTTCTCAGTCTCTCCCGCGACACAAGCACCCAGCACGGCGCCTGCGTACTACGAGCATGACGTCATCTCTACACATGCGCAGTGCCGCTTACTTACACGCGCTACTGCCGAGGCTCCTTTGGAAAGTTGGAGCTGAGGCGCGTCCCTCTAATTGCGCGTGTGCAGCAAGGGGTATTTAGTATTGTGAAATATTCCTGCTGTATTACAAGTGTAAGCTGCTGGGTTACAATGAATGTGGCTTGCCCATTGCAAACACGTCCCCTCAGCTGGCTTTTAACAATGAATAAGCCTTGGTTATATAGCAGTGGCCTCTCTGAGCTATATAAGTGGTTACTCAAAAAACAGTGGACGTACAAAGTGTTCTTATTCTTCTCTCCCCCTCAGCAGAAGCATACTCATACCCCCGAAATTTGGGGCCTGCCTTGTTCACATTCCGGGTCAAAGTCCTGGGCCAAGTCTGTGCATTACAACCCTATAGACTTCTGTGGGGTTCTACTGCGCAGCCAGAAGAGAGGACTTAAAACAGGTATTATTAAGATGCTTTCTATTTTTTTTCTAATGACAATGTCACTTTAAGGCAGAATACATTGAAAATATTGTACCATCAAAGCCACTGGTAAAAACAATAGGGCCACGGCTCAAAATCGTGTTACAGTATGCCATAGCGTTTTGGTTTTCTATGGCAACATTTCTCAACCTTTTTTCAGTCACTGCACCTTTGAAAGTTATGCCACCTCATGTGCCCAGGTATAAAATGTAATGGATTTTTAGGGAGCACTCCATATAAAAACACATTCAAATCAGGAGCCCCCTTTACGTCATAGCCCCTCCTTTCACATCAGTCTCCACTTTACATCCGTTGCCCTCTTCACATCAGAAGCCACCCTCATATCAGAAGACACCCTTCACGTCAGGAGCCTCCCCTCACATCAGAAGCCACCCTTTATGTCAGGAGCCCCCTCACACCAGAAGCCATCCTTCACATCAGGAGCCCCCTCACATCAGAAGCCACCCTTCACATCAGGAGCCCCCTCACATCAGAAGCCACACTTCACATCAGGAGCCCCCCTTACATCAGAAGCCACCCTTCACATCAGGAGCCCCCCTCACATCAGAAGCCACCCTTCACATCAGGAGCCCCCTCACATCAGAAGGCACCTTTCACATCAGGAGCCCCCCTTACATCAGAAGCCACCCTTCACATCAGGAGCCCCCCTCACATCAGAAGCCACCCTTCACATCAGGGGCACCCTTCACATCAGGAGTCCCCTCACATCAGAAGCCCCCTCACATCAGGAGCCCCCTCACATCAGAAGCCACCCTTCACATCAGGAGCCCCCTCACATCAGAAGGCACCCTTCACATCAGGAGTCCCCCTCACATCAGAAGCCACCCTTCACATCAGGAGCCCTCTCACATCAGTCTCCCCTTTACATAAGAAGCTCCCTTTACATCAGAGTCTCCCCTTTCATAGCAGAGTCACCCCCATTTACATAGGAGTTCCTCCTCTACATCTGAATCTTCAGTCCCCCTTCATATCAGAGTCCTACCATCACAACATTTTCGAGGCAGCCTTGAGGAAGCCAGGAGGCATCCCTGGTTGAGAAAGAATGGTCTGTGGACAGTCTAATGTCTATGGGGCATCGTCAGACACTACTATCCAATCTTTATTGGAGAAATAGCAATCAGACCAATGAGAAAACCTTAGCTGATTGCCATTGCTTTCCCTCCATTGGGCAGCACTGGAAGTGTCTGCAAAATGACTTCCTTGCATAACAGGTCTAAATATGAACATCAGATTCAACCGCTCATGTTTAATGATGCCCTGTCTGGCATAGGTGTATAAGGGTGCTCAGATCGTGCCTGCTATTCAAACACCTTCTAGTGTATCAATGGCCAGGTTTAGACTAATCTCATCTGGTCCCTTACATATGTTTAAAGCCCAACTCTAAGCAAAAATGTTGTTTTCTAAAAGGTCCCCCCTGGAGGTTCAATAAACTAAAAAGCTGCGCTAACTGTAATAGTCACTCCTCTCTGGTGCTGACTTGCAGTAATTGTTCCTAAATCCACCACAAGATGTCCTCAGTCTTTTGAATGAATGATTTCCAGCAGGCGGCATCTTATTGGGTCACGTGACAGGGCTGCAGGTGTGCCTGCCTCCCCCTTTCTGTCCAGAGCTAAGAGCTTTTATTTTTTCATTATTGGTATCTAAATAGCACCGACCTTTTACACAGCAGTGCACATTCACTTCAGTCCCTGCCCTTAAGGAGCTTACCGGCTAGGGTCCCTGGCTGGAGTCCAGCTCCTGGCAACCAGTGAGGTCAGTGAGCTGGGTGGGATGCCAGACAGAGCC